AGGTGTTTGTCCATTCTTGTCTGGATGTGAAAGTGCAGTGGGACTCTGGCCGACTTACATACCAGCTTATTATTACAAGGCATCAAACTTACAGTCCATAATTTATTGTCAATGTATTTGAACTTTTTCTTTAGTGAGTCTTCTGGAATAAAGAATCGAGTCAAGATGTCTAAGAATTTTATTCTTTACAAAGGCTCAAACAAACATACAGAGGTGCAACCAGTAAAGTATTTCCTTTCCCTCAGTTCTGGTTTATATAGCATAGAGCATATCTGCCCTAAATGGTAGGTTTCGTCTCTTTTATTCGATTTAGCAGGAAACATATTTCAACCCATTTATCAAATTGTCCCATAGATGTTTTATCTTTCTCAGTCGTAAATTTTATAACTGGCAGAAGGATTTTAAGAGCTGTTTCCCACTCAGTTCTCACTTTACTCCAACATATCCCTATTTAATCTGTAGTTATTTGTTTCTCTACGTACCTGTACCTTCAGCTCTGGAAATGAATCTTATGCTGCCGTTCAGTGGTGGACAGTAATTACGTACATTACTCAAGTACTGTACTTATGTACAAATGATATATTCTGTTCATGCCACTTTTTGTGTCTCCACCAAACTCAGACAGAGAGATTGTTCTTTTTTCTTCACTACAACAGCTTTTGTTACTTTACAAAGTAAGCATTTTACTACATATGAAGAGTTTATAAAATATGTTTTGTAATTAATTTAATTACCCAACAGTTTATTCAAGCACAGCTGAAACAATTAGTTGGTTGAAAATCATCTATCGTTCCAGCTTCACAAATTAATTATTTAAAAAATTTTGATGTAGTGTTAATAATATTGAGGTTTGGATTGACATGACCTGACCAATCATTCACAAATGGATAAACATGGCAACGACATGTCAGATCCAGTCCTTGTTAGGAAAAGTGTTCCACAAGGCTCAGTTTTCGGACCCTGCTTTTCCTAGTTTACATTAATAATATTTGTGATGTTTAAATTCTGTAAGGATCATCTGTATGCAGATGACACAGTTCTGTACTCCTGTGCCCCCACAGCAGAGTTTGCCTTTTCAAATGTGCAGGCAGATTTTTATACCCTGCAATATGCTCTGTCAGATTTGAAGTTGCTTTTAAATTCCCACAAAACTAAAATTATGATTTTTGCCACTGGGCGAACAAAGGTACCACCCCTCTCCATCACGACCCTGTATGGAGTCTGTATCCAGTCTGTTGATAATTACAAATATCTGGGAATCTGGTTTTACAAAAAACCTAAATTTTAAATACCATGTTAATTATCTTGCAAAGAAATTAAAATTCACGTTGACTTTTCTGTATATGTGAAAGTCATGCTTTTCAATGGCTTCACAAAACACTTAGTTGCTGGCCTTTTTCTGCCACAGATTGATTATAGGGACACTACCTACAGGTTTGCCTCTCTGTCCACCTTGTCCAAACTTGACCCCCTTTATCACTCAGCTCTCAGATATGTCACTAACTCTAGTTTCAGGATGCATCATTGTATATTGGACAGACTGGAAGATGGTCATCCCTTCACTTGCAAAGATATGTTAGGTAGACTTCCAAATTATTTAAACAGGACATTTTTAACTTTACAAAGCAGTCATGAGCTCAGGTCACATAATGGGCTACAGTTCAAAGTGCCTGCTATCAGAACCAGGGCAGGTACTCAAAGTATAAAAGGGGCACATGGAACAAGGATTTAAATAGGGCTGTTCTCAAATATTGATACAGAAATATATCGTTATGTATTCCTTGCTGATATGCGTATACTGATGCTCCTGTATTGATACATCAGCAAATGGTATGACACAGTTTTAAAAAGAAACACAGGGAATACCCAGCTCTTGCTTTAAACACTGTGGGCTGTTGATGGTGTTGCTGGGGATGTTGCTGCTGATACTACTGGTGGTGATCTGTGACTATCGATATTATAACAAACTTAGGAGATATTAGCTGATTAAACAAATATGTGACCGTGACAAGATGTAAAGATCGCTGACAGTATTTGGAACTGGCTCACAGTGACTGACCTGCTGTAGTGCTGCAGCCGCTGCCAAGGCTGACTGCTACGATAAAATAAGAGGGAGATGGTCACAGAGACTGCTGCACACCAAAAGCTGCAGGTAGAGGAAATAAGATACCAGGTTCAAAACTGTGTGGGAAATAATCTGAGAAGGATACAGTACTGGGAGAAAGGACGAGGTCGGCCAAGGCAGGGTTAAGAGTGAGACAAATCTATAGACAGGTGTGTGCGTGTGTCTATAGGCAATATTTTGATAATGATATATTTCACTGTGACATTTGGAATTCTTTATTACATTTATTTAATCTTGCTTTAGCATATAAAAAGCATTCAAATATATTTTCATGTCTGCCATCTCCTTTTACATGTTGCTACATCCCGAGCCCCCATTACCCATAAATGTGAAATAAAAACAAATAAAAAACAAACAAATAAAGGAACAATTACTAAATGAAAATAATAATAATTTGAAAACCTTTCAAAACAATTATTATATTTGATTCTATTCTGAGTTTCCACTGGTTGTCCTCCGTTCGTGGCATCCATCTATCTCTCTCTTTCAATATCTCTGTCTTTCACTGTCTCTGTCTTTCACTATCTCTTTCACTGGCTCTGTCTTTCACTATGTCTATCTTTCACTATCTCTGTCTTTCATTATCTCTTTTACTATCTCTATCTTTCACTATCTCTTTCACTATTTCTTGTTCACTATTTCTTTCATTATCTCTTTCACTATATCTTTCGATATCTCTATCTCTTAACTATCTTTTCCGTATCTCTTCACTATCTCTTTCACTATCTCTTTCACTGTCTCTGTTTTTAGCTATTTCTCCTTCACTACCTCTTTCACTGGCTCTGTCTTTCTCTATCTCTTCAGTATCTCTTTCCCTATCTTTTTCACTATTTCTCGTTCTTTCATTATCTCTTTCACTATATCTTTCAATATCTCTATCTTTTCCGTATCTCTTTCACTATCTCTATCTTTAATTATCTCTTCACTCTCTTTTTCACGGTTTCTGTCTTTCACCATGTCTATCTTTCACTATCTCTGTCTTTGACTATCTCTTTCACTTTCTCTGTCTTTCACTGTCTCTCTTTCACTCTTTCACTATGTCTGTCTTTCACCATCTCTTCAGTATCTCTTTCACTATCTCTGTCTTTCACTATCTCCTTCAGTGGCTCTGTATTTCACTATCTCTTTCACTATTTCTCTTTCACTGTCTCTGTATTTCACTATCTCTTGTTCATTATCTTTCACTGGCTCTGTATTTCACTATCTCTTTCACTGGCTCTGTATTTCACTATCTCTTGTTCATTATCTTTCACTGGCTCTGTCTTTCACTAGGTCTTTGTTTCACTATCTCTTAAGTATCTCTCTTTTACTATCTCTATCTTTCACTATCTCTTTCACTCTTTCTCTTTCACTGTCTCTGTCTTTCACTATCTCTTTCACTGGCTCTGTATTTCACTATCTCTCGCCCAAAGCCTTAAAGCCAACCAACCCCGTGACATTGCAGGTTATAGTACTGCACAATGGTGGCACCCTTTCAGTGAAAGATAAGACAGTTCTTCATTTCTTTTGTCTTTTATACGTTTACATTTGTCATGTTTCTTGTATAATTGTTGATCGTAGTGGAAATCCATTGTGTAAATGATGTAAACTTGATTGACTGCTTCATTTCCCTTTAAGGTCTCACTGCCATCATTGTTCCAAACAAGTACAGTTTTACTTGTGCTGTCCTGCTTTCGAGCAGGGACTTGTAGGTGGGAATTAAATGGACATTATGGTGAGAGGTGCAAATGGGGGTTTAGTATTACAGTCTACATATTGCTTCAAACCAGGCAGCACAGCTTAAAGCTTGCAATGGTTACAGTCACCAAGCATTTCAATTGTCTGTGAAAACAATCTGCTGGAGTAGTATTGGAGATACTTGGAAAATACTATGAACATATTCAAGTTCTGTTATTTGTTTATTGTGTTTTATCTGTAGCGCTTCATTTAATGTTGCTTCTATCACCACTAAAACAAATCCTGACTATATCATAAACCACTGAAGTTTAACAGTGTGTGACTCCCTCTGGTGGATGTTGTGGAGTATTCTGTTGTCTTTGCTCCAAAGGTTTTTGTACAGAGTTTTGGTGTTTCCTGTCACTGTGGGCTGCAGAGCACAGTAGTACACAGCAGAGTCAGACAGCTGAAGCTTCTGGATCTTCAGAGGAACTGATTTATCCTTGATTTTAGCATTAAATCTGTCTTTCGTGAACTCTGCATCAAAATCTGTTGTTTTTGAGTAACTTTTCAGCATGTACTTAGGAGACTCATTTACTTGTTTGTACCAGAACAAAGTTGGACTTGCTCTACTCGTCTCAAAAGTACAGCCAAGTGCAACTGTTTCTCCTTCAGCAGCAATGACATCTCCTGCTGGCTGGGTCACTCTGTCTTCTCCTTTACACTCTGGGGAAGAAGAGAACATGCAGAGGAAGAGATGGATCAATAAAGATGATTGATTAAAGGAGAACAATCAGTAGGTTTAAAGAGTTACCTAGCCAGAGAGTCAGAATCAGGATGTTTCTCAGCCAGTGGTTCATGTCTGCAGTGAGAGGGGAGGAGAGAGAGGAAGAACATTGATACTCTGATGGATCTGGGCCTTCACATCATTGGCCCTTCCTCTTCATCATCTGTTGAGGAACTCTCAACATTTACATCTCATTTACATCTCAGCTGTTTAGCTGATGCTCTTATCCAGAGCAGCTCATAATGAGGAGCTTTAACATGTGAACTTTCTGTTACAACAAAGTCTCTTTAACCACTTTTCACCCTGGAATAGTTCAATAGATTCATCAACATGGGTCTGTAATTATTTTAGTTTGTCTCATCATCAGAAATAGCCTCAATTAAACACCATGATCTGGATTAACTGTGTTTTATTAATAACAGGATAATATTGTTACTTGTCATTAGATTGTGTTGTCAGTGTCCACTTGGTGTCACTGTTGTTCAGTAAAAGGAGGAGCTGCAGTGAGTAAATCTTCAGAGGAGCTGTCAGGTTTTTGTACAGAGCTTTGGTGTTTCCTGTCACTGTGGGCCTCACAGCACAGTAGTACACAGCAGAGTCTGTCACTGCAGCAGAGGAGATCTGCAGATCCAGATGGGTTTTATCATCACTCACTTTAGCAGACCATCCAGGGATTGGATCATTTCCTACTGCTCCTGAAGCAGAGTGTGAGATGAGGAGCCCTGGTGGTTTTCCTGGATATTGTCGATACCAGAAGAAATAATCTCCAACATTTGCTTTTTTAGAGTATTTGTAGGACAGAGTAACAGAGCTGTCTTCTAAAGCAAACTCTTCATTCCTGACTGGAGTGAGTTCTTCACAGCTGACACCTGAAGGAAGAGATAACTCTGTAACTTTACAATCTAAAGGTTTCTATCAGTGAAGCTCTCTTAATGTTGATGATCTCACCTACCTCTTATTGTGAGCAGAAACAAAGTCACAAACAGACTGAAGTTCACTGACAGCATCTTAAAGAGAAAGAGAATCTGTCTGTGAAAGTTTGTGTCTTTTCTGTCCTTGAGTCCCAGTTTTGCTCCTCCCTTAATCCCTCCCTCCTTCCTCTCACAACTCTGACAAATAGTGAGTTTGTCTCTGCTGTGGTGCTGTTATTCACTAAATGACATCATTTCCATCAGGTAACAAGTAGCTGATAAGGTAACACTGATTGACTCTTTGCAGAACATGTGAAGGTCCTGACTGAGGTCAGTCTTTACACAGACGATATACTACTGTTACTAGTATCTACTTCTGATTCTGTACGTGTCTATTGCCTTATGATCTATTTCCTACCTGGTTAAAATAACAGATTTGCACATATATTTTCTGAACTTTTATCTTCTGTTGTTTGAAGTTATTGCTGAAGATTTTAGTATCTAAATTAATGTTTCAATCAACTTTTGCTACAGATTCTTTAAATATGTCATTCATTTAATTTCGTCCAGCATGTGTCTGGTCTAACTCATAACCGTGGCCACACATTAGATTTAGTCTTTACTCTTCATCTGAGTATAGATTCTATTGTCTTGTTTCTCCTCACCTTTGTATCCATGCTGCCTAAGACTAAATTGCATGTCTGTTGTAAGAAGTCAAAAGGTCCTTCATATACAAATAGCAAACAATTGAAAGCTGCAAGAGCCAACTACTTCAGTAACCTCCTCACCAGTTACCAGAATAATCCTAGATTCCAGTTTAAAACCATTAGACAGACTCATCAACTCTGCTCCCCCTGCCTTACCAGCCTCTTCAAATGCTGACTGTCAACAGTTTTATTATCTTTTAAGTAGAAAATCACTGACATTAGGTCTAACACCTACTACCACTGTTGTTGCTGATATTTCTTATTATCCTGCCTGTCCTGAACTGCTCAGCAATTTTCAGCTAATTTCTTTTCCTGAGCTCATCGATACTGTCTCTCACATGCTTTTCTCTTCAAGCCCTCTTGATATCTTAGCCACATCCCTCCTAACGAAGGTTATAGTGGACATCGGCCTTTGCTTACCTCACGTTATTAATTGTTCCCTTTCTTCCTGCCGCATCCCTAATTATTTAAGCAAGCTAGCATTCAGCCTTTATTTAAAAAGCATAACTTGATTAATCGCTTCCACAGAACTATAGACCCATTTCTAAGCTTGCTTTCATATCCTAAGTTCTTGATGGTGCTAACTCAACTCGTAGCTGTGTTAGACTGGGTTTCACAAACTTCACATTACAGAAACCGCCCTCATTATGGTTACATACGATTTACTGATGCCGATGCTGGGGAGTCACATGTTTTATTGTTGCTCAACCTTAGTAATTTGCTTAACACTATTGATCAAATAATTGAATTTCCTGTCTCCATTGGTACTTATGTTTCATCTTACCCTCTGCTGAAGTGTGGGGTGGCTCAGGGATCTATTCTTGGTCCCATTTTGTTTTCCTTTTATATGCTTCCATTAGGAAACATTATCAGTTATTATAAAAGAGCCTCTCATCACTGCTACGCTGATGATACACATATTTACTTGTCCTTTTAGCCAGATAACATTAGCTGTCAATGTAATGGAGTTCTTGTTTGTTATTGCGAAATGGATGACTTGTTACTTTCTGCAGCTCAACTCAAACAAGACAGAAATAATAATATTTGGCCCTGATCACCTAGTAAGCAAACAACAACCGTTTATTGGTCCACTGACAACCAATTGAAAATCTCCAGCCAGAAATGTAGTTGTAACATTTAATCCTGCTACTTCCACCTTAGAAATATTACCAAAATAAAATGAGCTATGTCCTTTATCTTTTCACACCTGGACTATTGCAGTGCACTGTGTGTGACTCCCTCTAGTGGACGTTGTGAAGTATTCTGTTGTCTTTGCTCCAAAGGTTTTTGTACAGAGTTTTGGTGTTTCCTGTCACTATGGGCTGCAGAGCACAGTAGTACACAGCAGAGTCTGTCACTTTAGCTGAGATGATCTGCAGATTCACACGCTTGTCTGTTTTGTTAATGTGAGCTGAGAAAACAGAATCAGTTGGATGAATCGTTCCTCCCTCTGTGATGGAGAGCAGGAACTCTGGTCTGGATCTCTGGTATTGTCGGTACCACTGGATATTGGTGATGAAACCCTCATATTTACAGGTCAGGTTGATGTTTCCTCCCTCTGCAACATGTTCTTCAGGACTTTCTGGCGTTATGCTGTTCATGGAACCCAGGGCTGCAAAATGTCAGTTAGTCTGCAAGAGATTCTAACATCAAGAGACTCAACGGAGGTTCTTGACTTTCTGGATTCATTCAAAAAAACCAAATGTCTTTCTATCATGGAAGTTGTTCCCTTCCACAGAGAAACCTCTAGTTCTGAAATGTAGACCAAATATCTGGTTAATCCAGCAGGTTAATGAGCCTTTCATCTGTGTTCCAACACTCACCTATGAAGTGAGAGCAAAGTAAAAAGTGGTAAAGCAACATGTCTTTGGAGTTGTTAAAGCCAGACAGACAGCAGATGAGCAATGTTCTTCCACTGCAGTAGAATGAAGAAACTAAACAGCCTCTCTGCTGCACAGCCCTTCTCCTCAACATCAAGCTGATTGTGCTTTTAGTTCCTCAAACATTTCTGCTCTGGAGACGCAAAGAATCTCATTGGTTGAGTTGGACTTCAGTGGGCGGGGCCTGTTTTTGAACCACCAACGTTAAAGCTATAAAAATATTTGTGCGTCCAGCAGATGTTTGCTTCTGGGAAATGGATCAAACTGAAACTGCAATGTACTGTCATCATTGTTGTCCACACTGGAGAATGTGATGAAGGTAACAGTAATAACATACAGCAAGGGTCGGCTATTAAACTTTGCATTGGAGCAGTTTATTCAACCGTTAGTTTGTGGGTGAGAACATGACATAATATTTGAAGTCATTGTTATGGTGTTGGGTTAGCTAGGTCGGTAAGGTGGTGTGAAACTGGTCATGACTCAGGCTTTGGAGTGAAACATTAAGGTGTTTGTCCATCCTTGTCTGGATGTGAAAGTGCAGTGGGACTCTGGCCGACGTTACATACCAGCTTATTATTACAAGGCATCAAACTTACAGTCCATAATTTATTGTCAGATGTATTTGAACTTTTTCTTTAGTGAGTCTTCTGGAATAAAGAATCAATCAAGATGTCTAAGAATTTTTTTCTTTACAAAGTGTCAGACAAACATACAGAGTGCAACCAGTAAAGTATTTCCTTTCCCTCAGTTCTGGTTTATATAGCATAGAGCATATCTGCCCTAAATGGTAGGTTTCGTCTCTTTTATTCGATTTAGCAGGAAACATATTTCAACCCATTTATCAAATTGTCCCATAGATGTTTTATCTTTCTCAGTCGTAAATTTTATAACTGGCAGAAGGATTTTAAGAGCTGTTTCCCACTCAGTTCTCACTTTACTCCAACATATCCCTATTTAATCTGTAGTTATTTGTTTCTCTACGTACCTGTACCTTCATCTCTGGAAATGAATCTTATGCTGCCGTTCAATGGTGGACAGTAATTACGTACATTTACTCAAGTACTGTACTTATGTACAAATGATTATATTCTGTTCATGCCACTTTTGTGTCTCCACCAAACTCAGACAGAGAGATTGTTCTTTTTTCTTCACTACAACAGCTTTTGTTACTTTACAAAGTAAGCATTGTACTACATATGAAGAGTTTATAAAATATAATGTTTTGTAATTAATTTAATTACCCAACAGTTTATTCAAGCACAGCTGAAACAATTAGTTGGTTGAAAAAATGTTTTTATTGGCAGCTGTTTTGATCATTTGTCATTTTTCATGTCAAAACATTTCATCGTTCCAGCTTCACAAATTAATTATTTAAAAAATTTTGATGTAGTGTTAATAATATTGATGTTTGGATTGACATGAACAATTTCAGGCCAATCTCTAATCTCCCTGTTCTTTTAAAAATATTGAAATCATTAGTTGCTATACAATCATATTTGGACTCACAGAACATTTGAAATGAAATACAATCCGGTTTCAGGTCAGTGCATAGTACAGTAACCACCACTTTAATATTTGATGTTTAAATTCTGTAAGGATCATCTGTATGCAGATGACACAGTTCTGTACTCCTGTGCCCCCACAGCAGAGTTTGCCTTTTCACATGTGCAGGCAGATTTTTATACCCTGCAATATGCTCTGTCAGATTTGAAGTTGCTTTTAAATTCCCACAAAACTAAAGTTATGATTTTTGCCACTGGGCGAACAAAGGTACCACCCCTCTACATCACGACCCTGTATGGAGTCTGTATCCAGTCTGTTGATAATTACAAATATCTGGGAATCTGGTTTTACAAAAAACCTAAATTTTAAATACCATGTTGATTATCACGTTGACTTTTCTGTATAGGTGAAAGTCCTGCTTTTCCATGGCTTCAGAAAAACACTTAGTTGCTGGCCTTTTTCTGCCACAGATTGATTATAGGGACACTACCTACAGGTTTGCCTCTCTGTCCACCTTGTCCAAACTTGACCCCCTTTATCACTCAGCTCTCAGATATGTCACTAACTCTAGTTTCAGGATGCATCATTGTATACTGTGCAGACTGGAAGGATGGTCATCCCTTCACTTGCAAAGATATGTTAGGTAGACTTCCAAATTATTTAAACAGGACATTTTTAACTTTACAAAGCAGTCATGAGCTCAGGTCACATAATGGGCTACAGTTTAAAGTGCCTGCTATCAGAACCAGGGCAGGTACTCAAAGTATAAAAGGGGCACATGGAACAAGGATTTAAATAGGGCTGTTCTCAAAATATTGATACAGAAATATATCGTTATGTATTCCTTGCTGATATGCGTATACTGATGCTTCTGTATTGATACATCAGCGAATGGTATGACACAGTTTTAAAAAAGAAACACAGGGAATACCCAGCTCTTGCTTTAAACACTGTGGGCTGTTGATGGTGTTGCTGGGGATGTTGCTGCTGATACTACTGGTGGTGATCTGTGACTATCGATATTATAACAAACTTAGGAGATATTAGCTGATTAATCAAATATGTGACTATGACAAGATGTAAAGATCGCTGACAGTATTTGGAACTGGCTCACAGTGACTGACCTGCTGTAGTGCTGCAGCCGCTGCCAAGGCTGACTGCTACGATAAAATAAGAGGGAGATGGTCACAGAGACTGCTGCACACCAAAAGCTGCAGGTAGAGGAAATAAGATACCAGGTTCAAAACTGTGTGGGAAATGATCTGAGAAGGATACAGTACTGGGAGAAAGGACGAGGTCGGCCAAGGCAGGGTTAAGAGTGAGACAAATCTATAGACGGGTGTGTGCGTGTGTCTATAGGCAATATTTTGATAATGATATATTTCACTGTGACATTTGGAATTCTTTATTACATTTATTTAATCTTGCTTTAGCATATAAAAAGCATTCAAAATATATTTTCATGTCTGCCATCTCCTTTTACATGTTGCTACATCCCGAACTCCCATAACCCATAAACGTGAAATAGAAACAAATTAAAAAAAACAAATAAAGGAACAATTACTAAAATAACTAACAATGAAAATAATAATAATTTGAAAACCTTTCAAAACAATTATTATATTTGATTCTATTCTGAGTTTCCACTGGTTTCCTTTGTTCGTGGCATCCATCTATCTCTCACTTTCACTATCTCTCTTTCACTATCTGACTTTCACTGTCTATTTTGCTATCTCTATCTTTTACTATCTCTGTCTTTCGCTGTCTATCTTTAACTCTCTTTCACGGTCTATTTTTCACTCTCTTTGTCTTTCACTATCTCTCTATTTCACTATCTCTTTCACTATCTCTTTCACTGGCTCTGTCTTTCACTATGTTTATCTTTCACTATCTCTGTCTTTCATTATCTCTTTTACTATCTCTATCTTTCACTATCTCGTTCACTATTTCTTTCATTATGTCTTTCACTATATCTTTCAATATCTCATAAACTTTACTATCTTTTCTGTATCTCTAAACTATCTCTTTCAGTATCTCTATTTTTAACTATTTCTCCTTCACTACCTTTTTCACTGGCTCTGTCTTTCACTATGTCTATCTTTAACTAATTCTGTCTTTCACTATCTCTTCAGTATCTCTTTCTCTATCTCTTTCACTATTTCTCGTTCACTGTTTCTTTATCTCTTTCAATATGTATCTTTTCCGTATCTCTTCACTATCTCTGTCTTTCACCATCTCTTCAGTATCTCTTTCACTGTTTCTGTCTTTCACTATCTCTTTCACTATCTCTGTCTTTCACTATCTCTTCCGTATCTCTTCACTATCTCTTTCAGTACCTCTATCTTTAATTATGTCTTTCACTCTCTTTTTCACGGTTTCTGTCTTTCACCATGTCTATCTTTCACCATCTCTGTCTATCTCTCTTTCACTTGCTCTATCTTTCACTATGTCTCTTTCTCTATCTCTTTCACTGGCTCTTTCTTTCACTATGTCTATCTTTAACTATATCTGTCTTTCACCATCTCTTTAGTATCTCTTTCACTATTTCTGTCTTTCACTATCTCTCGTTCACTCTCTTTCACTATTTCTTTCCCTGTCTGTATCTTTCACTATCTCTCGTTCATTATCCTTTACTGTTTCTGTCTTTCACTATCTCTTTCACTATCTCTGTGTTTCACTGTCTTTTTCACTGGCTCTGTCTTTCACTATCTCTCTTTCACTCTCTTTCAATATTTCTTTCTCTGTCTTTCACTATCTCTCGTTCATTATCTTTCACTGGCTCTGTCTTTCACTAGGTCTGTGTTTCACTATCTCTTAAGTATCTCTCTTTTACTATCTCGATCTTTCATTATCTCTTTCACTATTTCTCTTTCACTGTCTCTGTCTTTCACTATCTCTTTCACTGGCTCTGTATTTCACTATCTCTCGCCCAAAGCCTTAAAGCCAACCAACCCCGTGACATTGCAGGTTATCGTACTGCACAATAGTGGTGCCCTTTCAGTGAAAGATATGACAGTTCTTCTTTTCTTTTGTCTTTTATACGTTTACATTTGTCATGTTTCTTGTATAATTGTTGATCGTAGTGGAAATCCATTGTGTAAATGATGTAAACTTGATTGACTGCTTCATTTCCCTTTAAGGTCTCAATGCCATCATTGTTCCAAACAAGTACAGTTTTACTTGTGCTGTCCTGCTTTTGAGCAGGGACTTGTAGGTGGGAATTAAATGGACATTATGGTGAGAGGTGCAAATGGGGGTATTACAGTCTACATATTGCTTCAAACCAGGCAGCACAGCTTAAAGCTTGCAATGGTTACAGTCACCAAGCATTTCAATTGTCTGTGAAAACAATCTGCTGGAGTAGTATTGGAGATACTTTGAAAATACTATGAACATATTCAAGTTCTGTTATTTGTTTATTGTGTTTTATCTGTGGTGCTTCATTTAATGTTGCTTCTATCACCACTAAAACAAATCCTGACTGTATCATAAACCACTGAAGTTTAACAGTGTGTGACTCCCTCTAGTGGACGTTGTGGAGTATTCTGTTGTCTTTGCTCCAAAGGTTTTTGTACAGAGTTTTGGTGTTTCCTGTCACTGTGGGCTGCAGAGCACAGTAGTACACAGCAGAGTCAGACAGCTGAAGCTTCTGGATCTTCAGAGGAACTGACTTATCCTTGATTGTAGCATTAAATCTGTCTTTCGTGAACTCTGCATCAAAATCTGTTGTTTTTGAGTAACTTTTCAGCATGTACTTAGGAGACTCATTTACTTCTTGTTTGTACCAGTACAAGTAGGGGTATTGGTCACTAGTCTCAAAAGTACAGCCAAGTGTAACTGTGTCTCCTTCAGCAGCAATGACATCTCCTGCTGGCTGGGTCACTCTGACTTCTCCTTTACACTCTGGGGAAGAAGAGAACATGCAGAGGAAGAGATGGATCAATAAAGATGATTGATTAAAGGAGAACAATCAGTAGGTTTAAAGAGTTACCTAGCCAGAGAGTCAGAATCAGGATGTTTCTCAGCCAGTGGTTCATGTCTGCAGTGAGAGGGGAGGAGAGAGAGGAAGAACATTGATACTCTGATGGATCTGGGCCTTCACATCATTGGCCCTTCCTCTTCATCATCTGTTGAGGAACTCTCAACATTTACATCTCATTTACATCTCAGCCATATCCACCATACCATCAAACTACAAATGAACTCCTCAACCATCACTCCAACCCGGGTGGTGAGAAGCTTGGTGTCATGATTGATGACCAGCTGTCCTTTTCAGACCATGTTGCTGCTGTCTCTCGGTCGTGCCGCTTTGCTCTATACAACATAAGGAAAATCAGGCTCTACCTCACTCAGTACGCCACCCAGCTTCTGGTACAGGCCATCTCACCCGCCTCGACTATTGCAATGCCCTCCTAGCAGGTCTTCTAGCTTGTGCGGTGAAACCCCTATAAATGGTTCAGAACGCAGCAGCGCGTCTGGTTTTTGATCAGCCCAAAAGGACTCATGTCACTCCGTTACTCAGTGACCTCCACTGGCTCCCCGTTGCCTCCAGAATCAGATTCAAGTTAGTAATGCTGCATACAGAGTGACTACTGGGTCTGCACCATCTACCTAAACTCCATAATGCAAGTTATGTTCCTTCTCGGACCGCTGCGTTCCTCCAACCACCGCCACCTGGCTTTGCCATCCCTAAACACATCTGTGACACCATGATGGTGCAACAAGCTACCACATGCCGTCAGAGCAGGGGCGTCCCCCTCTGACTTCAAGAAGCTCTTAAACTCAAGTCTTGTGTGAACACTTTCTCTTAACATCTCTAACTCCTAACCTCTAACATGCACTTCCTGTGCTCGTCTTCTTCTCTCCCCTTACAATTATCTTACTGATTGCACTTTGTGTTAACTCTTCTTTCCCTCGGTATTTACCCCATCGATGCGATATGTGCTATTAGCTCTTACTAGTATTTATTGCTGCTCTTACAAGTATGTATTGTGAGTTGTAGTTCTCGTGATGTATTTGATGCTTTGTTGATGCTTGTATGTTGTTCCTCAAATGTAAGGCAAGGCAAAGCAAGTTTATTTGTATAGCACATTTCAACAACAAGGTAATTCAAAGTGCTTTACATAAAACATAAAAGCAACAGGGAAATATAAAAAAGTTTAAAAGCAACATAAAATATAATAAAAGTTAAAGTGTTACAATCAGGCTTAAAAGAGTTAAATGGAAAATATTAATTAAAAGCAATGAAGTTTGCACAGTATTTAGGGGGCTTGTAGATTTTTAGAAAAATAGCTCGAGAAGAGGAATTCAGCTGAAGAGCCACATATTCAAAAGAAGCAAAATTCCCATAAGACATCTTTTTGCATTGGAGGGAGTCGTTAAACAAAATGGCAGCTCCACCTCCTCTCTTATGGACTCCAGCTTCACTATAAAACTGAAGCTGGGAGGGGTAGACTCGATAAGGACAGCTGCACTGTTATCTTGGTCCAACCAAGTTTCAGTTAAAAACATGAAATTAAGATTGTGAGTGATTATAAAATCATTGATTAAAAATGTTTTTCCTGCCAAAGACCTAACGTTTAACAAAGCTAACTTTAGTGTGTTAAAAACATTATCTGGCCCACTTTTCGACAGGCTGCAGCTGACGAAGAATTAATACTAAATTTACAGGATATGTTGAGTGCTTCCTGTTTCTTAACACATTCACCATGCTTTTTCTGTTACCTGTCAAGACAGGGATGGAGAAGACGACCAGCACACTGGGTCCTGGGAAGAGTCATGAGTGCTATTTTCCTTGTAGCCTGGACCCAGCACATATCAGACAGAGCTTACTGGGCTTTTTCAACATTACGGAGCGGGAGGACGGGTTGGGCGCTGTATTTGTGACACATGTGTCAAACCTGGAGGACTTAGAGCCAGTGGTGGAGGTGGACGGTGAGGGGGGTTTAGGGTAGAGAAAATGGGAGTGGAGCGAGGGAAGGTGCGGGGAGTAAATTTGGTCCCAGCTCTAACCAGGTCTTCCATGTGATCAGTGAAGTCCAACAGGGGGGAGAGGGGAGAAAGGGTGTCTGAAGGTGGGGATTGGGGGGGTAGAGATGTTGAATCGTCACTGTTGGTTTTCAGTGAGGGAGGTGGAGGCTCTTCCTCTTGGCTCAGTTGTCTCCCGTGATCAGAGCTGTCTTCCGGCGGGGGGTTGAGGTGGCTCTCCTTCAAGGTTTCTGGCGTGTTGTGTTATGTCTTCTTCTTGTTTAGATTCCTCTTGTCTCGTGTCCTTGGCAGAGGGAACAGATGAGTGATGCAGAAAGTAAAACAGGTTGGAGCTAAACAATTTTACTCCTGACTTGTTAAAGCAAAGTCCATCTGCCTTAAAAAGATGTCTGCAGTCCCACAGAAAGTAAAAGTGTTCAATGAAATGCACTGAATGGACAGTACATGCCGTTGAGAGCCACGTGTTCAATGCCATCAATCTGCTGAATCTCTCAGCTCCTCTTCGGATTGGCGGTATAGGGCCACTGATAAACACCTCAGCATTCAAAGAGCTGACTGTTTTCAACAGATTATTAAAGTCCTCTTTCAACACTTCAGACTGTTCTTCACAACATCATCGGTCCCGATGTGCAGTATGATGTGTTTCACTGCAGGATGTTCAGCCACGATATGCAGGATTCTTTCTGCCAAGTCACCGTATCCTTCGGAAAGCAGAGTATTTTGGTGTTCTTACTGCACATGCTTCTTACATCGTTTACAGCAGAGTCACCCACAATCAGAGTTTGAGGCCCAGTCGTCTTGGGAGTCTTGTTGGTGCTAATTAGCCGTGTGTTAGCATGGTCTTGTCCACTGTTTTGGGTCCACGGTAAAGTGGTGTCATTCCCACATAATCCATTCACTTCCACATTCACTTCTAACCTGTGGATCTTGGTTTCCAGCACAGTAATTTTCTGTTGAAGTTTGTAGAAGTCGTCCGTGGAGAAGGGGGGCATCTTGTTGCTAATTAGCATTAGCTATAGCTCCAGTCACTGCAGTACAGGCTAGTGCTATTGATAGGCCGCACTCGCGTAGCACTAAGATCATAAAAGGTTTTAAAGTATGGCAAGAGCCTACTTTATCTGACAGTCCCAGTGATTTAAAAGTATCCAAGAGCTGCTGATTGAGCAAAAGAATGCAGGGAGAGGCAAGAGCAAGCAGCAAAGCGTCTGCACTGTAAGAAAGCAGGAAGTACAAATGTAAGAAACTGCCAAACGAGTAAATGTAATGTTTCATTTTCAAAAAAGACCATAGTTTTGTCAGACTGCATATTGCTGCTGCTCCTCTTTTCACCCTGTGTGTTGAACGCTCCGTTTAAGCTACTTCAGTTTGATCTTTGACGGGAGCTGCACATGTGCAGGACCTAGTTAAGAGCTATTAGCAGCTCTTCTAACTAGAAGCAGAGCAGGGCGGGTCCGGTAACAATGGCTTGGGTTCAGCTGTACATGTTCCAGAACCAGCTTAGCAACCTAGACTGGACCAAGAGTTTCAGAGTGACAACTTATTCATTTCTTACAGATTTATCTTTTATATGTAACGTTTTATTTATGCTCTGCCTCTATATCACAGTAACAGCTTAATGTCCACTGACTGCCTGGAGGGTCTCTAATGAGAGTGGACTGTTTCAGGCAGTTCAGGAGCAGAGGTTACTGTGGGAGATGGGAACTCTCTTTGGGCTGGACTTTGGACTTTTTCATTTTGCAAACCTATATATGCACACAAATATATATAACACAACAAGGAAAGCGGAAAAAGCCAAAAAGAAGAAAATGACATCTTGAAGAAATCACTGACAAAGTCGACCTCGAATGAAGCATGTTAGTTGTCACTGAAAATAATTGTTGATCATAACATGTTGTCCTCTGGACCAAACTGTCAGGTAGTTAGAACATTTTTAAAGTATAAAACAGTGGAGAGAAAGAACAATCTTGTTGGAATCTTCTCAGTTAAGTGTGTGACTCCCTCTAGTGGACGTTGTGGAGTATTCTGTTGTCTTTGCTCCAAAGGTTTTTGTACAGAGTTTTGGTGTTTCCTGTCACTGTGGGCTGCAGAGCACAGTAGTACACAGCAGAGTCTGTCACTGCAGCAGAGGAGATCTGCAGATGAAACTCCTTTGCTGTTTTGTCATGTTTCAAAGAAAACCCTGCTTTCTTTGAATATTCTGCGAGGAAAAACTGTGGAGATGAACTGGACTTCTGTTGATACCAGTAGAGGTTTTGTACAGAGCCTGAATAGTTGCAGGAGAGAGTCACAGAGTCTCCTTCCAAAGCCAGCATTACATCTTTAAATGGTTTCACTAAATCCTCAGAGGATCCTGAAAAAGACAAAGAGAGATTTCACTCTGACATTTGTCTATTTTAGCAGAAAATGTTAATACATTCAAAATTTATTTTCATGTCTACATCTCCTTTTACCTGTTTTGATTTCTTACCAGTGTGAAACATGAAGATGATCATCCAAACTAAGCAGAGCTGCATCATTTCCACTTGTACTGAATGAACAATAGAGAGGACACAGCAGCTCTTCACTTCCAACATGAAGCCTTTCATATTCAGTTGTGGAGCTCCTCCTCTTGCTGTGCTCTGTTTCCATTCAGGCTGATGGAAGCTTTAGAAATGACAGTGATGCTGCAGTCATCATCATCCAAGAAGGTCAGACTGAAGGAGGAATCTGCAGGAAATTCACCTGAAGGAATCTGGACACAAACACCTGTCTGAAACCTCCAATCTGCAAACTGTACACAACTTCTGTTGGAGCCCGAAACCTGGTTAAACTTACAGGAGGAGACTTCTGGGACGGCGTACTAAGCAGACGTATCCGTCAGAGCTCAGCAAACTGAGTCCGGATGAAAACCGTTCTTGAAGCTGAAAATATCTCCACTTTTGCATTTGTTGCTGCAGTATAGTGTAAGTGTAACCAAAAATAAGAAACAATCAGATTCCAAAACTCTCCCGTTCAAACACACCGAAGACTTTGGAGAGCACAGCCAAGCTACAGCCATCAAAACTGCTAGCTCCAACAAACGGGACAGGGGAGAGACGACACCCACAAATACTGGAGAAAAAACCCACATGGACAAGAGAAGAAGAGGTACGACTGACGACCGTCAATAGGAACCATATTAAATGCTATCGCAGGACTGGGCAAAGACAAATGCAGCAACGCAGCACCATGCTAGCAGCGATAGCTAAAACAGTGCAGTTCAACTCAGAGGAGCTGAAAGAACGTAAGGTGAAAGTCAGCACCTTAGAAATCAGAGACACACTCAGAAAAGAAACTGAGGATATGAAGGGATATTAAACCAGAGAGATACAAAGGAAGATGGTGTCTTCGCTTAAAAGGTAAAAAAGAAAGTCAGAGCGGAGCTTCTGTGCAGAATTGCACCTGAGCTGGTGACAAAGATGGAAGACGTGACATCAACATTGTCCACAGAGTTGGAACGGTGATGGAAAACAGGCATCAGGAAATCATTATTCTCTTGGCTAGACGAGCAGTGAGAGATGACATCTGGAAACCAACAAAGACTCACCTATCTGCAAGGAACAAGGAATCCGCTTCGCAGCAGACCTGTCACAAGAGGACTCGCTGTCCAGACAGGCGATGTGGCCAAAAATCGAGCAGGCAAGGAAAGAAGGAAAGGCTGCCGGGTTCAGGGGTCCATATGGTTTCATCACTGCAGGTTGAACTTTAAACTTGAAATCACACAGTGGAAAATTATAATTATGGGACTCGTATTCAAACAGGTTTTTACTCCACTTCCCAAATTCCTTTTACAAACAAGTTAGAGCCAACCATATGTGTTCTGTCCTTTCTTTCAATACAAGGGGACTCAAAGACTCGATTGGACGCAAAGCTGTATTTCTGTTTTGTAGAGGGCAGAAAGCTGACTGCATATTTCTTCAAGAAACTCTGATGCATCAGACGTTAAGTTTTGGACTCAACACTGGGCTGACAAAATCCTTTTTAGACATGGCACGAATCAAAAGGCAGGAGTAGCCGTATGCTTCAACAGATGCCTCAGTAAGATCATAAGTGATACGGCAGATAATGACTGATATTGGATAGCATGTGTTCTAGAGACTGATAGTGTTCTTCTTATTCTGGTTAATCTTTATGGATACAATGATGATTCTAAAAACAAATCTATTTCTGAACTACTGGCTCTGCTCATAAAAAACTCCCAACATCGAAGGACTAAACACAGACGGTAAAATATTCCCTACAGGTCAGCTAGCTGACGACACAACGCTGTCCCTAAAGAACAAAGAACAAATACCTTTGGCCTTACAAACAATAGAGTTATTTTCTCAAGCGTCTGCTCTGTTTGAACCTCAACTAATGGGAACTTGTGAGGATCCAACTGTTCCTGTTCTTCACTATTCAATATACCTGTCAAAAAAGATACACGATCCCTAGGAATTTTGTTACCAAATGTCCAAACACAAGTGAGAAAAGTAATATTCAAAATTCTATAGATAAAAACAAAGAACACTGTTAACAGAAATGGAAAGCATATCCAGACTGATTTATCCTGCATATTCATTAGCTATATCTCCCAGGATGATAAAAGAAAACAAACTAAATTTCAACATGACCACATAAAAATGATGAAGATGGTGGGATTAAAGCATCAGATTTTATATCATGAATGGTGTATTAAAAAGAAATGGCTGCGATCGTTTCTAAAGAATGGTGAGGAGATGTGGTTCACAATAACTTCGCTTCTGTTCAACAAATTAGCTGGTACTGATTTTTTGTTAAAAAGGGACTTTGGAATATCTAAACTACCTGTCAAACTCTCTGTCTTGTCATTCTGGGAAATGATTTCTAAACATAATTTTAGTCCACAGAACGTTCTGCTATGGAACAATAGATTCATGTTGTGCAAAAGAAAATCTATATTTATGGACAACTGGATGGAGAAACAAATATGGTCAATTGTTGGATATATATAAAGTTGGATATAATCTGGATTGCTGAAGGTGTCATAAAATATTCCAATGGCTCTTATTCAGTTAATTAAAAATAATGTAGAAAACACACCGACCCCCAAAGTCCAAAATATAAAGATAGGCCAAGTTGACTTTTTAAACCAAAAATGTAACAATGCCTTCCTGAGGCAACATCTGTAGAATACAATGTAACCTGGCTTCACAAGGAGAACTTCAAACCCTGAAATATCAGCTATTAGAACAAAATGTCTTTAATTTCCACTTCTTCCTAAAAACAAAGAAATGCAGTTTAAAATTCTAAGATTGAAATGTGATGTAGAAAACTGTCACCTATGCAACACAAATGTAGAAACAACAGAGCACATTTTTTATGTTTGTGACTAAAGTTTATGGAAATCCTTACATGACTGGCTGACGTCCAAACTCATAAAGATAGATTTCTTTTCTTTCACATCTGTCCAACTAGGTGTGGTCCTAAATAAGAAACAAATTAATTTCTGATCAATAATACCATTATTATTACTAAATATTATATACACACATGTCACTTTGTGAAATCCCCCCTTCTTGGAATGCACTTAGAAATGAGTTCTCTGTATTAATTAAATCTATAAGAAATGTTCAAAGCTCCCCTGCCAGAAAATTCTGTTTACTTCAGAATATGATTTGATCTCTAAGTTTTGTTAATTTTAACTATTTAATGAGTGAGTTAGTTATTTTGTTTGTTGTCTATAACTTCTTTAGTGTCGTGTCTATTTCTTCTGAGATGATTGCTTTGAATTAAGTCCAATGTTTATTAATTACTTGGGAGGTGAATTACACCCTGGACTTGAAACATGGTTTGATCTGTACCGTGTAGAGTTTGTCATTGTACCCACTACCCATAATGCTCCTGTGAATCCTCCCCCAGTGTTTCATTAGCAGCTGGAACCACAGTGACTCTGATAAAACAGGAATTAGCAGAATCCATCTGATATGAAGCTGTGGTTTGAATACCACTTCCCTCCTCTTTGAAGAGTAGTCAGATATCTGGGTTCAGGTTTTTGTACAGCCTCTTCTACACTTTGTATCACTGTGTTTCTAGAGCACAGTAGTAGAGAGCTGTGTCTGCCAGGGTTAGATCTCTGATGGTCAGTGTAGTTGATGTTGCTGATGTTTCAGATTCATATCTTCTATCAGGAATATATTCACCTGTTATTGCTCCTTTCCAGAGTATAAACTGAGGTGCCTGAAGGTCAGAATGATGTTTGTACCAGTAAAGGTCAGGATAACTTGCTGTTGTCTGATAGTTACACGTGAGTGTGACAGATTGTCCTTCTCTTCCACTGACTTCCTCTCGTTCAGGAGAGATTGTGTCTCCAGCTATTAGTCCTGGAAAAAGTAGAGCAAATGAAGCCATTAGACTAACATTGTTCATGAGGCTGAGAGGAGAAGACAGTGGAAAATGGCAGCTGTACAGTGTTACTCTGTGGACACAAACAGCTCAGCTGTTTCCATAAATCTTTAGAAAAGAATAAAAAGATGTTGTGCTTTCTATCTTACCAAAGAAAAGAGCAGCAAGAATAATCCCCAGCCAATGTTCCATCTCTACAACAAGGTTTAAATCAACAGGAGAAACTAGCTGATGTTCAACATTCAGTCTGAGAATTGTTCTCTTCACAGCAGCAGTTATTATTGACAGAATGGTTGAACACAGTGCAGAAGTAGTGCACCGCCTACTTGATAATGTGGCTCAGCTTGGATTAACAGCAGCTACAGTGTCATCTAGTGGCCAATCAGAATCAGACCACAGAAGAAGAAAAGACGCCACTGAAACTTCAGACTAGTCCAGCAGCATAATCCAGTTGTCAGCTGATGATCTGTTTGTTCAGCATTTTCCAAACTCAACATAGTTAAAGACTCTACTTCTGTGCTGCGTTATCACCTCCCCACATCTCTGAAGTTGTGGATTTACAGCAGCAATTAACAAAGTGATGCTACAAACTGTTGAGTCACCTTTCAAGCTTACAGGTGGAGAGGATTTGATAGTGAAACGAGACATTTTCACTGGAATATTCCTTCAGACTAACAAAACCCACATCTGGATGCTGAGATCTGGAGGTGGGCAGTGAGTTCGGGGCAGCCGTGGCTCAGGAAGTGGAGGAAGCCAAAGGGTTGGTGGTTCAGTCCCCAGCTCCTCCTGTCCACATGCTGAAGTGTCCTTGAACAAGACTCTGAACCTGCTGCAGCTCCACCACCATCAGTGAGAGAGAGTGTGTCTGTTTGTCTGATGGACAGAATCACTATGAAAGGCCTTGGTATAAAGAGCGTTCTGTACATGCAGCGTATTTAGTGTTTACAGGAAAGTTTGATGGTTGATGATGTCTTTATTCTTCAGAAGACAAAGAAATCATGTTAAGATCTTCAGTAACTCATTTTTTTATTAGCAGTGCAATGAATCCAGCCTGGATCAGAAAAAGAAGTTTAACAGAGTGTGACTCCCTCTAGTGGACGTTGTGGAGTATTCTGTTGTCTTTGCTCCAAAGGTTATTATACAGAGTTTTGGTGTTTCCTGTCACTGTGGGCTGCAGAGCACAGTAGTACACAGCAGAGTCTGTCACTGCAGCAGAGGAGATCTGCAGATCCATTTGGGTTTTATCATCACTCACTTTAAAAGATATTCTAGGGACGGAATCTGATATTGGTAGTCCTGTTCCTGAGTGTGAAATAAGGAACTTGGTGGTTTTCCTGGATATTGTCGATACCAGAAGAATCGATCTTGACCAGTTGCTTTTTAGAGTATGTGTAGGACAGAGTAACAGAGCTGTCTTCTAAAGTGAACTCTTCATTCCTGACTGCAGTGAGTTCTTCACAGCTGACACCTGAAGGAAGAGATAACTCTGTTATTTCATGTTGTAAAAGACTCAACAAATGAATCCCATCCAGAAAAGTTAGTAATGAAACTTTCTCAGCAGGATCTCACATACCTGTTAGAATGGATAGTAACAGTAGAGAAAGTACATAATAGTCCAATGAC